AGTGCTGTCTTGTTTACATTTTGGCATTTTTAAGATGTGACTTTGAAGTTCCATGGGCCTGAAGACCTTTGCTGGTCACATTTTCTGAATATCTGTGATACAAATATTCTATAATTAAAAATTAATGGTCATTATGCTGTTAAACATTATGTAATATTGCATCAAAATTTGAAGAAACCCCTATTTTGGGCACTGCTCCCATGATGACCATTTAAGGAAAATCATGTCACTTACTGTTCTCAAACTTACAGGAAAGAAACATGGGACTAAAATACAGCTTCAGTAGGCAATGCAGTCGGTTTGGTAACTTTTTCTAACAGTTAAACAGTTTTTTGTGAAAATTTAATTTTTCACATGTTGGCATTTTTAAGGTGTGACTTTGAAGTTCCATGAAGACCTTTGCTTGTCATGTTTTCTGAATGTCCATGTTACTAATATTTTATTAATAACATTTGATGGTCATTATGCTGTTAAACATTAAGTAATGTTGCTTCAAAATTTGGAAAAAAACCTATTTTGGGCACTGCTCCTATGATGACCATTTAAGGGAAATCATGTCACTTACTGTTCTCAAACTTACAGGAAAGAAACATGGGTCTAACAAACAGCTTCAGTAGGCAATGCAGTCTGTCTGNTTAATTTGACAGCTTTGCTGCCTTGTTTTTTTTTTTCTTTTTTTTTTTGTGAAATACAGATCTCACACAAAGAATTATTATCCCTTTAAGGTGAATCAAAAAACCAAGAAGTTCCACAATATTAACAAGTATACTGCTTTAACTAAAAGAAAATGAAAGTAACTATGACTAACAACTTTTAAATTATTAATGAAATTATTACGTCAATGAAAAGCTTTAAGTGCTATGAAATTTTCTATATAAAGCAAAAACTTATAAATTGTAATTCAAACAGTTTATGGTTTAACAGTTTGAACAGCCCTTTTCATAATTTTCTTGGGTGAAATATTTAACTACAGTGATGAATAGATATATTTAATGCTTATTTTACAGATAATGAATTTTTTCTAATGATAAATTCTTAAAATTTGAACATTCTTATTGTCAGTGAGTGAAAGCTACAGAATTGAAAAGCAGGCCAACTTGTATTTCTATTCTACACAGTAAAAACACTGCAAATGCTATTAATATCATTTTTAATGGTTCCCAAATTCTGTATCTGCTCTTATATGAAAACTGAAAATGACTGTTGGACAGGTGTGATTTCTGCATTATCCTCAAACATTGTCATTGTTAAAGCAGGTCTTACCAATTTAAATTATACAGCAAAAATTGAAATTTTGTCCATTTTCTCACAAGTACTAAGGCATACCTTAAATGAATCAGTTCAGAAAATTAATATCAAATGATATTAATCGAGATCAATTTTGTTAAAGTTGCATTTGAAGTCAATTTTTTTTCGCCACAAAAACCAACCAAATGCCAGCATATAGTTTCAAATAGTATAACTAAGAGAATTACCAAGAGACATCGTTTAATATTACCTGAAAATGATACTTGAACAGATTTTTCTGCTAGTTTTCTATGCTGTGTATATATATATATATATATATATATATATATATATATATATATATATATATGGGGCAGAAAGGTTAAAAGGTTTATGGTCAGAATGGCCTGAACGGAGAATTTTTTTCAGAAAACATGCCCAACTAATGAAATCTTTATCAAAATACACAAATTAGTAAATTTTGAGCTACAAAAAACCTCCCCGTTAGCTAGGTCTGGGAGTTGATGAGCTACGTGGTCCGGCGACGACATACGTGCCACCAGAGGAGAGAGCCTGCCTGTTAGTAAACTGTCAAACTGAGCTACCATTATCTACCTGTAAGATGACTTTTCATACTATTGATAACAATTCATACCCATTCACCTCTCTTACCTGAAGGGTATATACTGGTGGAGCCAGATGCCTGTCTATTCAATTATTTAACTAGCATTTAATTACAGTTATCCCAACAGGTATAAAATACTGCATTCAAATGACTTGAGGGTATTTTGATCATTCAGTATAAGGTCCATGTTATTTGTGAAATTCAATTCAATTCAATTTATTAAACCCTTGAGATGAAATGCAGTAAAAATATAAAGTCATAACAAAAACAACAATACAACAACTACTAATAGTAATAATAAAAAGTCATCAGACTGACGTTAATCTTAACTCCAATGCACATTTTAAGTACTTTCCTAAGTTATTTAATTGTGACATATTGTTAAGTGATAACAATTAACTTGAAAACACTTTGCCTTGTATAATAAAATTTTTGATGTATTTCTGTCCAATCGTTCTGTAGCAAGCGGTGAGGACATTTAAGAATTAATCAAATTAAATTTATCCTTGATGTCATTTTAAAATGCATAGTATACAGGTTCTTAATTTTTATTGGTGTCTGTTTACCTTCCAGTTTATACAGTTAGATTATGTGATGAAAGTCTAAATTTGGCAATTAATTCCTTATATTTTCATAAAATTGGCTTATTTAAATAAAATTGCACTGTAAAATTATCAACAAGATGGTACTTTAGCCCTTTACTCCTTTAGGATATTTCCCTGGTCAATGTTTGTCAAAAATGATCTTTACCTCTTTGCTCTTTCAAGGACAGTATAAAATGATCTGCCATTTTTTCGTGAAAAATAAATGACAAACCAAGTGTCTCCAGTCCATTCCTTACTCACATTACCCAATCAAAATTTTTTAAAGCAGATCTGGGCCCCGATCGCCTTGCGACTGAGCGCAAGCGTACATGTATCAAATACTGGACACATTAAAGTTATGATTTTTTAAACATGCTACTAATAGCAAACAATGCTTTTTTTTTTACCTTGTTCTGTAATACAGGCCTACCCAACTACCAGACTCGGCACCTAAGGATCCTGAATTAACCGGTATATCGGACAACACTACCCGTTTTCAAGGTGTGTGTCAGATCGCATTTCGGAGTATCAGCCAGAACACCGACAGGATGAGCCCTGACATGCCCGGCTGTCACCTTGATTGGATAGTAAACGATTGTTGTAAAATCGCTATATGATTTTAAAACCGGGTGCATAATTTTGAAAGCCACCTAGATGAACCTTAGACTGCCACATTAATCTAATACAATGCAAAAAAGCCCTATCAAAAGTGGTTAAAACATTCAAACCGAATGTCGTAAAGTCCCCATATATCCCCATAGAGACAATAAAATGGAGTACTCTAAAGTAAGAGTACAGTTTGAGGTTGTTCAGCCGAGCGTGGATGAGCCCGCAGTCGTGCTACAAAATTTGTTCTGGGGTATGATACTCCGAAATGCGATCTGACATACACCTTGAAAACGGGTAATGTGGTCCGATATATAAATTCAGGATCCTTAGGTGCCGAGTCTGGTAGTTGGGTAGGCCTGGTAATATATATTTTTGGGTTTGACAAAACTTATGAATTTGCAAAAAGTTTTGCATACAGACGCATAACTTGGGTTTCAAATTATGAAAGTATACAAATTTTCATATTTCAGTTGAAATACTGTTTAGAAACAAATTCTCAAAGCACACAACACATTATTTCGTGTAACGGATTAGGATTACGAATAACTTTATTACAGCAGTTCCCCATTCTTTTTTTTTTCTTAAATATCACCATTCTTTTACTCAAGCGAGGCTTGGGA